GAGACTTCGACTTATAACAAAGGCTTGGCTTGGTTATTATAACAAAGGATCGGCTCTGTTTATCATAACAAAGGCCCGGCTTCGTTTATTTGCAGCTTCGGCGGGAAAAGGGCGTTAGGTATTTTAATCAAAAGTGAACTTTGTCGAAAACGCTCCAAATTTTGCATAGAGTTTTGTTGAGGTATGTTCAGCAATGTCCCATAGTTTTTCCGCTAAACTTTGCTTCGTTTTCAGGATATTGCGTATGCAAAAAACCACTCGGTTTTCCTAGCGGCGTCTTTATAAAGTGAAGCAAAAGCCAGCGGCAAAAATACAGGAACACGTTTTTCTATTACATTGAAGACCACATGCAAAAATTCAGCTAATTTGGAGCAAGAAAAAAGAAAAGCAACCAAAATCGTCACTTATCCCCTTTTACGACTAGCTTCTTCAAATGTCTTTACGAGGAAAATAAAACAAATACTTTTTGAAATTCTAGCTTCAGAATACTGTTATATTGATCTTTCAGAAATCGTTCAAAAAGTAAAGCTAAATTTATTTTCCTCTTTCTATGTATTCACTGATATTCAATAATTTTGTTTTAGTGTATCTGTAGTCTCTCGTCGTAACTGTTGTTAATTATCATTTGTAATACCGTTAGTTTATTAGTTGTCTTTAGTCATTGTTGTCAATTTTAGTCTCTTTAGTTCTCTTGTTGCCTTTAGTTTTATTTAGTTGTACCTAGTTGTATATTAGTAATTCGTGTAAACATGACCCACCTAGATTAGCTCAGCTATCCGCGGGCATGTTATAATTGTAATTTTAATTTGAAAACAAAAATAAAATGTATGTATGTAAAAAAAAACCCCCCAGCATTTCATGCAATTTGCATGACAAAATAATCTGATGACTTAACCTCTACCCATTCATGAAGTATAAAGAACACCTTGCAATGTATTTTGGGACAATCTTCAAAGGAGATATACGTGTACACTTCATGTTTTATGCAAGGTTGGAGAGGCTATGGTTACACCAAAACACACCACAGATTCCTGTGAACAAGTAAAATTTTCATAGATGTAACTACAAGCTGAAGTCATTTTGGTGATGTGTGCTGATGTCCGGTCATAATGAAAAATAAGTGAAGTGCTATGTAGACATAATTTTCATTACTCTAGAATAAAGATCATTTCTCTAGAATAAACTTAAGGTATGAATTAAACTTCATATACCATTGAGCTAGACAGAAGCATGCAATCTCTTTCTTTCATTCCATTTCATTGTCAGCCCTCAGATATTTCAGATATGGTTGGTCATTTATCTCTAATCTTTCCAGTCAGATTCAAATTACCTTGCACTGTCAGCATCTTTTTCCTTGCTCTCTTTTTCCTTCTCTCGTCCATCCTCTTGGCCATGTGTCTGTGACTGACTATCCAATATGGCATCAAGAATGCCTGTATATGTTGGCTGAAAACATCAACATACATGTACATCAAACTCACAGGAAACAGTTTCCAGGAGTATCAATAAGGGCCAAGCACTAGCAAATGGTCTGGCTGAGAGGAGGATTTTGTCTGACTGTTTTAGCCATCTTGAGGAACATTTTTCTTATACATAAGTTCGGTTCAAAATGTTTTGCCTGCCTGTGAAAACCAGTTGCCTTCCTGCTGAAAATGTTCATGAAACCCAAGTAGTTAATATCCACAATGACAGCATTGCTTGGTAAGTAACAGTCTTGGTTGAAACAAGAGTGGAGAGACTACTCTTCCTTGCTACAGCAAGGACAACTGCATGCTTACCTTGGCAGTTGCTGTAGATGAAGAAGTTGCTGTTGTGGTGTTAGTTGTCCCTGTCTGTAACAAACAAAGAACATCAATTTACCATGCATATATACAGTACATTGTAAACCACTCGTTGAACCCTCTAAAAAAAGTAATACTTGAGAAATAGAAAACATTTACCATGTTTCTATCGAGTTATGGAAACACGAGTGGAAGTTTGGGAGAACGAGAACTGCTGTGGGAACACGAGCCGCAGGAGAGTGTTTCCACAGCTTTTTCGAGTTCTCCCAAACTTTCCTGAGTGTTTCTGTAACTCGATAGAAACACAAAGAACATGTTTTCTATTTGAGAAAACACCATGACCAAAAAAGGAAAACAACTAGTTAACTTTGATTATCAAAATGTAAATTCTCTTTGCTTGCATCATCATTACGTCAACCCCTTGTGCTAGTTCTGTGTTATCGAAACATGATTTTTAACTAATCGGCATGTGTATTTTCTTAGGACTGTTTTCTAATATATTCTATGATAGACAGATGACAAACTGAAATAGTTACCACTGCATACAAACAGCTTGCATTCTTAAAACAGCTAGAAAAAAACATGAAACAAGCCACGCAACAAATTAAAGTTCATACATTTGCATAATTATAACCAACTACTAAACTACCTTTGCAGCTGTGGACACACGTTTCCTCTTTCTCACAACAGGAGCAGCTGATGCTGCAGATGTTAGTGCGTTCATGAACCCTGCACTTTCCATGGCTACCGCTGGTGACGGACAAAAAACAGCAAACTTCAAGCAATGAAATGCTTAGTAACACTTCAGTGATATGATAAAACATGACGGTGTAACTATCCACTGATGTCATGGCATAACAACACATTCTTCCTTTGTTATTTTTAAGACCTTAGCACCTATATATCCTGGTCTGCAGCCTAGCATTCTACTAACTGAGTTAACATGGAAGTCACTTACGTTTAGCCTGTGGTGGGATCACTTTTGTCTTAGAAATATTTTTCTGTGCCATACTCTGTTTGACATCACTTTTAACTTCACTAAGGGTTTTCATTTTCTTCTCCGCTTGAGGTGACCTGTTTGAATCTGTCGAGCTGTTGTCTCTACAAGGTAAAACAAAATGAAGTGAAAAATGTGTTTGATATCTTAACAAGTCTGTAGAAGATGAGCTGGTTAGTTCTCTTTTGGAGGCTGGAGGCCCATCAGGCAGGCACAATCACTGGTTCAATTGCACAAAGCTACTAGCAGTATTTTTACTCCCTCTCTCCCCCACCCCCAAGGTAGTAAATTATAACATCAAGGTGGTGGGAGACACTGCAAGAATTACATGTTTGTATCTTGGGCTTAAACCTGGACAACTTGATCCAGGGTTTGGTACTGTACAGTGACCATTAGATTCAAACCACTTCTCACCAATTACAGTAATATACAGATTTACATGTAGTTTAAAGGTGGCTATGAAATTTTCAGCATCCATGGAAGACCTCATGGTCATTAGATTCCTGAAGTTAACATGTTCTGCCACATGACCTCCTGGTTTCAGCAAAGGCTTTCCCACTGTTCATATGGCAGGTTGCTTTATGCCTTAACATGGTTGCTTTGGTATCTTTGTAAAGTATTAATTTTTTTTTGCTAAAACACCAGAGTGCACTGTAAACTATTAATGACAGCTGCAAACTGGAATGACATTAGCAGCACCAGGATCACCATAGTGCTCACCTCAGTCTCTTGGCAGGCTTTCCTTCAGTTGATGGGAGTGATAAAGCTGTTCAAAAACAGAAAAAAGGCTCATAAACTTCTAAGGACCTTTTTCACACAATTTCAGTACACAGGTTATTGGACTCCTATTACTGCACATACAATGTGTCTAGCTTATTAGCCTAGATCTGTTTGTTTCAAGGGACAAATTATCACCCACTGTCAAACAAGTGTTAACATGACCAACAGCTTAAGAATTGTTGCACTTCACTGGTAAGCAAGGCTAGTATTTATTCATTGGACAACTTTATGTTTAAAAGAAATACAAAGGTGAAAAATCTAATATAATTATTATCCAAATTCTAATGTAAGTTAGTGCATAGTGTTATCTATTATTTTGAACATCTGGTCCCAAATACATACATGTATGTCTAACAATAACACAGTCACGCTAACATGAATAAAAACATTGGTTAAGAAATTCACAAGCACATATCATATGTACATGGTTCGCATTGAAACATGTTGATCTTTTAAAGTTGGTTATCCAACTTTATGCTTTAACTAAAAGTTGTAATTAAAAGGTCTTTAAACCTGGCATATGCTAGCAGGTGTAAATCGACATAACTGTATCAGTATGAAGTTGGTGAATACATAATGAACTTTAACTTAACTTAAAGTTTGCTCAAAAGTTTCAATTTCTTTAAGCAAACTGTAAAATTTAAAATGAGTGTAGACCTGGGAGTTTGGACAGGGTGCAAAGAAACCAATCTTCCAGGCCTCGCGCACGATGTTGGTGTACAACTGCGTAACAAAAACGGTCTCACGCTAGATTTCTTATGATTTCTCGTCATTCTTACAGCCAGTGGTCGTAAAACTTCGCAGAATTAAAGTTCCATCTATGTGCACCCCAAAAAGCGAAATTTTCCTTCTGAAAGAGATTTATTAGAAGAACAATAACAAAATTCCGAAAACAGGTTAGGCAAAAAGTGCCGTTTTTCCCCCATTTTTTGACCAAAA